CCTCGAGGCAGTTACACAGTGCTTACAACTGTCTCTGGAAGTGAACACCAGAAAAAAATTAAGTCATACGCAGCTATCATCCGTACGCAAGGGAGTAAGCACAAGATGCCGAACACCCTCAGCAGGATGCAACGCACCCTTCATGCGACTCGCCGAATATCTCACGGCGCTTCGCGCTTGGTGATATGAGAGCCTGGTCCGGTGAGAACCCGGCGTGCTCCGTCCCGGCTTTGTAGGGATGCGAGGTCAATGGTCTAACGACTACGGCATGCACGACTATGAGTACACCCCCCCCACCCCCCGGACACATTTGTACGCTTCTTTTTTTTTCGATTGCAGGTAGGTGCAGCGTCCGACATTGGGTACCGCTCCGTGAGCGGGATCGACGCGTACATACCCCTGATCCGCGTGAGGGAGCTAACAGACCCGCTTATTGGCATGGACGTGAACGACCTGCCCAGCAAGTGAGACGTACGGGGGTGTTTGTAGAAGGCAGCAACCAACCACGTCCATTGGTGACGTCGAAGGCTCTCCCTCGTTGATGTTTCGATGCGAGATGAGTGAATGGCTCCGCCTTCGGGGAGGGGGCGAAGCATCCAAGGCTGAACAACTGAGATGCTGCCTTTCTTTTGTTGCTGTTCTTGGTGGTGCTGCTGCTGCTTGTGCTGCTGCTGCTGCTGCTGCTGCTGCTGCTGCTGCTGCTGCTGCTGCTGCTGCTGCTGCTGCTGCTGTTGTTGTTGTTGTTCACTTGCTGTTGTTGTTATTATTGTTCACATTAGCAACTATTCCGGTCCCTGCTTAGTACCGTCTAGGACCCTTGCCGGTTTCACTGACTCAGGACGCTCTCCGTGTTCACATACGCACTCAACAGAAGTTTTTTATCGTGAGAGCTTGACGCTTGGAAAACTCCAAACGAAAAGAAAAAACGATGCACGTATGCAGGGCACATGAGAGTTTGCTCCAACAATTAGCGTTTCCCAAGCCGCCACCGACAACTGGTTTGTTCGGAACCCTTTCACCCCGACGATTCCGGAATTGCCACCACTCGTTGCGTCGTGGAGAAAAGGAAGGTACGCTACGCGACGGAACCCGGTCGCAGGGAAGGACGAGTAAACACAGGCCGAGCGATGCGTTTCATTCTCCGTCGCAATCATGTCGACAAGACGTTCATGTCCCTTGTGCACCACAAGAGAGCACTTGCTTGCTTGACATCACGTAGTGGTCTTCCCTCGCTGCTTTGATGAAAGGCTTGCTGCAGTTTCCCTGAAAAGCGCGCTCACGAGTTTGGATGTTGTTAATTCCTTGCCAACTCTTGACCCGTTTCGCATCCACCCACCTACCCACCCCCCCGCCGTTGCGGTGCGCCTATCGTCGTGTTTTTTCTCGTTGCTCTGTTTTTTTTTTTTCAGCGCGCACCCGTTCCTTCCGCTACGAATAGGAGGATTTTACAGCGCGGAGGAGCTGAGCATGAGCAGCGAAAAAGACTTCCCCGGCAAACCGAAGGTATGCACACTTTCACTCAAGAGAAAGAAGGTGCCCGCGATTTTCTGATTGGTCCTTTTTGGTGGATTGGTTGTTTTTTCTCCGTAGGCGCGGGGGGGGGGGGGGGG